AAACCCTAAACCCTAAACTCTATGATTCGCCCCCTGCCATGGCCAGCCTCGCTGATGCCTCGTGTAACTTTGTCCACACGCCCCTGGCAGGGTTGGGCTATTGGGTTTAGGCTTTAGGAAGTAGAGATTAGGAAGTTTAGGGATTAGGAAGTTTAGGGTTTAGGGTTTAGGAAGTTTAGGGTTTAGGAAGTTTAGGGTTTGGATTAGGCAGCTTAGGGTTTAGGGTTTAGGAAGTTTAGGGATTAGAAAGTTTAGGGTTTAGGGTTTAGGCAGTTTAGGGTTTAGGCTTTAGGAAGTTTAGGGATTAGTGTTTAGGAAGTTTAGGGATTAGAGCTTAGGAAGTTTAGGGAGTAGGGTTTAGAGTTTCATGGGCTTCGTACGGTATGTGGTGTATATTGTTGAACACATCAGGGAACTTGGGAACTAGGGGTACTGTTCCGGTACCTACACTTCGAATTCCGATTTAAGAGTTCTCTGACCCTAAATGCAAACACCTGCAGCGTTCTGCCCCTAACCCTGCACCGCATCTAGGGTGCAGGGAGCATTACGGCCGAAAGCTCTCCCACGTAGCGTGCAAGAATCCGAGAGTGTCTCGAGAACCCCTTGCCTAGAAATCAATGCGGGCATATTCCCGCAGTCTTTAACCCTGCATCCTAAACGACATATTCAATCCAGCAAGGATGCCTTCACCTTCGATTTCTCTTCCTCGGCAGGATTGACCTCTTTCTCCCACATGTCCTGCATGCTGGGTGGAGCTTGACAGTCTACTGCATGCCAGGGTGGAGTGTGAATTGAAGCACTAGGTTCCTGAGTGACCCCTCCATAAACAGGGTACCCTTTGTCCTAGAACTCGGGTTTAATAAGGGAACCATACGACAAAAAGAGCAAAAGGGTACTACTCAAGGAACCTAGAGCAAGCAAGATCCTTGGCTAAAGAAACCAGTAGTCTGCCCAGACAACTGAATCAAGGCAGGAAGGACGGGGCGAAGAAACGAAGGAAGGAAGGAAGGAAGGAAGGAAGGAAGGAAGGAAGGAAGGAAGGAAGGAAGGAAGGAAGGAACGGACGAACCAGCAAAGGAAAGAAGCAAGGACGGCAGGAATAAATGAATGAGTCAAGAAATCAATGAAGCCATGAGTATGAATACCCTAAACCCCATGTAGCCCTAAGCTCTGCATGCAAACTGTCACCCATGTGTATTATAGGGTTCAGGGTTTGGCTTAGGGTTTAGCGTCTACGGTTCAAGTGCTTCTTGGCATTTAGATTCCGAGAAAAGCCTCCATGTCGACACCACAAAATAAGCCGCCCGAACACTGTAAACGTGTCTTTGGTGTCTCGGTTGAGGTTCCTCCAACATAGGAGCTTGTACTCGAGGAGTTTTGGGTTGTTGACTTGATGCTTGACCCGCTTTTTCATACAAAAGGACCTTACTCCAGACATCTCTAGAACTCGGAGAACCCAATGCCCCTCAATTAAGGAATATACCCTAAACTATGAAGGCCTTAATATTATGCATTGAGGTAGATTCCTTAACGAGGTGGTATAGGGTTCTCTGGGATACCCTGGTGACATGGCCCAGACTTGGACGGACACTTCAAAGCCAATGCCGGGCCGCGATTAGGCCACCCACCTGTCTCCAAAACCGACCAAAAAACCCAAAACTCATAACCCATGGACCCGAAACGAGTAAAGGGGCCTGATAATTAGAATAGGCTTTTGGGGTAGATATACTATAAGTAAAAACAGGAACCCCCTAAAAACAAAAGTATTGAAAAGTATTTTGGACCCAGTCTTAAACCAAAGAAACCGAGATGTGCCCATGTCTCCTGCCAGTTTGTAATGTTCTGCGCCAGGTTGCTACCCATCCTGGCTCCAAGGTTCCCCTACACCCGACAGCCCAAAGCCTAAAGCCAGTATCCTGAAGTAAGGGTTTAGGTTTTAGGGTTTAGGGGTTTAGGGTTTAGGGTTTAGGGTTTAGGGTGGTTCAGGGTTCGATGCAAGCTAATATATGGAGCCTTAATAATTGTGATAGGGTTTCGGGCTCCTTTATAGTATAGATTATTATACGACTACTAAGGAACCGTAAAAGTAATATTGGCAATGATTCAGGCTTCTATAGTATATCGTTTTCAGGATTCTATCAAAGCGAAGAGTGGTTATCGTAGCTTAGGGTTCGATGACGTCTGGCCGAAGTATTCAATTCCTTTGGGTATTGCCTAAACCGCAAATCGAAACCAATATGGGGACTCCGAAAAGCATCCTCAACTAAAGAGCCGGTGCTTTACGCAGGAGCCGGGTGAAGCAGCCTTGGTTCATGGGGGTTCTTCTTAGCGGTGTGAGCAGTCTCTTAAAAGCCCAGACCCTAAACCCTGGATGTTTGTTCCATGCCACAAGTGGTAGTCGATAGCCTGGGACAACAACCCTTAGTCTAAAAACAAAAGAGTTCAGTTTCCGGGGCTTCGGTGCAAGAATGTGGGCAACGGAACTATGGTATAATGTAGGGGCCTTAATCATTAGAACAGGGTTTGGGGGTCCATTATACTATAAGTATAACAAGGAACCGCCCCCAAAATAGTATCGGTAATTATTTAGGCCCCTATATTAAAGTACATAGAGTTTGGGCCGGTTTGGGGATTCGCTCTCCCGCGTCTTACAGCAAGCTAGGGGTTGCTCGATGCTCATCCCGAAACCTGGTCAGAGTTGGTCCCCAAATTAACCCTAAGGAAATAAGGACTATTTGGACCCTTAGGGTAGGGGGCACGGAAGCACTGGAAACTCATAGCAGGAAGGTTCTCCTTGGATTGTAAGTACGAAGAGGATTCATGCAGCTATGATTGCTTATACTTATAACAAGCTAACAAACTGTTGACTTAGTCCTGTGACCGTTAACCGTGAACCCAAACCCGAATCCCTAAACCCTAAACCCCTAAACCCCTAAACCCTAAACTCTAAACCCCTAAACCCCTTAACCCCAAAACCCCAAAACCGCTAAACCCCTAAGCCCCTGAACCCCTAAACCCCTAAACCATTAAGCCCTAGGCTCCTCTAAGTAACCCTAGGAACCCGCGGCCCTCCGAGTCCCGGGCTCATGCAAGTTCGGCCACAACCGAATTTGTGCAACGAAGAAAGGTGAGATCATGAACCTCACAAAGCGCTCAGGGGCTGCATCAGAACCCAGCCTTTAGTGGCATAGGGTCCCAAATGAGGGGTTCGACTTTCTAGATCCGGGGGTCTGGCTTTACGGTGTGCGGTTCAGGAGCCTGGGTTTTTTGGTACTTTGGGGTTCAAGGTTCCAGGGATCGGGCTTTACCGTAAACCCGAAACCCTAACACCCTCCCTGAACCCTCAACACTAAACCCGAAACCCTAGACCCGAAACCCTAAATCCTAAACCCCAACACCCTAAACCTAAAACCCTAACACCCTCAAACCCTAACGCCCCTAAACCCAGAAATGCCAAGCTCCAAACAAGACTCTCTGGATCAAACCAGGGAGCGAAACAATGCGATTAGGGTTTAGGGTTTAGGGTTTAGGGCTTAAGCTCCCGGAGCCCTCCTGAAGGAGGAGTTCATTGGAGTTTCGATTTAGGGGGACCCTTGGGCATATAGACCGTCTCAAATAAGGTCCCGTTTAAGAGAGCCATCAGTAGGGTTAAGAAGGGTCCCCTTTAAGGGGTCTCCCTACGACTACCCCGGAGGTCAGAGAGATCTAGAGCGTTGGCAGTTCGCGGGAACTCGGGATCTGGGATTTCGCCGAATCCCTGCTGAACAGGGCCTGTACTGTAAAGTACAAGCAATGGCTGAAGCACTAAACCGTGAAAGCACCGCAGGCGTTTCAATCAAGATGCATCATAGATCTTGTAAGCTAGAAAAACTGCCCAGTAGGACATGAACCCAAGGCCACCGAAAACACGAGGAAGCAAAACAAAAATATCACAAGGCTGTAAATAAACACCAAGACCATGAAAACAATAAAACAACAAGAACTCCAGGAACAAAAACAGGAACTCTGCACCCTACAACCCCCTCCATCCAAAAGAACAACATACAAAAAAAAACCTAAACCCTAAACCCCCAAACCCTGAACCCCTAAACCCTAAACCCTAAACACTGAACCCTTTTCTGAGGCCCGCGGCTCGATGAAGCCTATCTGCGAGTTCGGCTTGTTGAGCTTATCACGGTCGTTCAAGAACTGAACCTCCGTGAAAGCTTAGGGTTTAGGGTTTAGGGTTTAGGGTTTAGAACTGAACCTCCGTGAGGGTTTAGGGTTTAGGGTTTGAGGTTTAGGGTTCAGGGTTTCAGGTTTAGTGGGTTCAGGGTTTGGGGTGTAGGGTGGGTTGCCAAAACCTCCGATACCAGGAGCTGCTGAAAACTCATTGCGCTGCTTTCGTTTTGTGAGTTTGACCATGGAGGCTCCTGGGCAGAATGCATCTTTTTGGGGTTAAGTCCCTAAACCCTTAACCCAAAGCCCTAAACCCCTAAACCCCTAGACCCTAAACCCTAAACCCTGAACCCGAAGCCCCCAAGCCCCAAACCCTAAACCTTAAACCCTAAACCCTAAACCCTAACTTATTGCTGAGTCTTCTGGGCTCTCCGGCTGTTGGTTTTGGGGTCTACGCGGCTGCCGCTTCATTTGGTTAGTCTTCGGAATGGGGTGTTCACCTTGAAGGTCCAGATAAGGCTTAAAAGAAATAGGGTTTAGGGTTTGGGGTTAGTTCAGGGTTTAGGGTTTAGGGTTCCGGGTTTAGGCTTAGCACGTGGGGTTAGCATGAAGGGATGAACATGGCACTTATTACAAGCATGGCCCTGACTGCAGGTTCAAAATCTCTACACTCCCTAAACCCAAACCCTCACACTCGGGCCCCGTGTGCTAAACCGAACTCTGAAGCCTTGCTCCATGGATCCTTGAGCCTAGAATTCGGGTACCTACCCCGCAGATTTAGTGCAGGTCCGAGTGGCACTAGAAGAAGCTTAGTTGGGGTTCAGAATTTCGGAGTAATGAAGTTATAAGGGTAAGTTGTTGGGACGGAGTAAGAGGTGGCTGCGGGGTTGTAAATACGCCGTAGCTTTCATTACTTCTCACTTACTAAGTCCAGCGATCCTTCAAGCAGGGTGTACTCATGAATCTCCATTGAAACCTAAACCCTAAACCCTACACCCTACACCCGAAACCCTATAACCCAATCCCTATACCCTAAACCCGAAACCCAATACCCTAAACCCTCGACTCCAAACAGGCTGCTTCTGAGGACCCCCACGGGGATGCCCAATACCTTCTCCTGGTCGCCCTGAGCGAAGAACTCCTCCAAGCAGACCATTGCCCAGTCCTCGTGGCGGTTGCGGCAACGTTTAGGGTTTAGGGTTTAGGGTTTAGAATAATGGTGGTCACAGCAAGATACCGACACTGACAGAATTGAAAGTGCTAGCGGCAAAATCGCAAATGGCAGCAATCATACAATAATGGCAGTAATAATGCAAACAGCCACAGGGATAGTTGCAAAACTTGTCATGCTGGTGCTGACTTTGATGCGGCTACGGCTGTCAGAAGAGTGTGGCCTTGTCTACATGGTGCCTACACGGTTGGCTGGGAGACTTCATGCGTGCTCTGCCTGCAGCACTTTGCGAGCAGTTCAAAACTTCATCCAGTGATGCATGGGGGCGATATATATATATATATATATATATATATATATCGCGGGGGACCTGCTCCAGGTGACTCCAGGACCCCAGCCCTACCGGGCACACGCCACATCCCAACATCTGAGGGCCCTACGTGGGTGACCTCCCACCCTTTGCATGGGTTCGATACATCTGCAGAGTGCAGCACACAGTTCAGCACCTGGCAGGGGAAACGGTGCAGGCTATGACACAGTGGCTGTGAGGCTTAGGATGTGGCTTCATTCTTCATGTCAAGAAAAGGAGCTTTGATGAGGTGCCTAGAACCCAAAGCCCGAAAACCCTATAGGGCCTGAGCCGAAAACCCGAAATCGCCCAGGGACGAACAAGTTTTCTGCTGATCTCCGCATTACCTGCCACACCCTGACCCTACAGACCTCGGTTTAGGGTTTAGGGTTTAGGGTCACTAACTTTTGCGAATGCTGTTCAGTTCAGCAACATGGCCTTGCAGCAGCTCCAATCGCGACCCTTCGTGAAGCTTTGCTGCTGTGGTTACTATACATGCCTCGCTATGAGATCCGACCAGCGAAGAAACCACATCAAGAGATCATAGACATGAAGGTTACGGATATCAGGTCTACCCAAAACAAAACGATCTTGTTCTTCAGCCCTGCAGAAGACCCTCTTACAAATTTCACATGGGGCACTACATAGGCTCACGAACGGGAATCGGATACCATGAGCCCTAAACATCGAAACCTGATCGTTCTCAAGCTCCAGCGTTGTGCAACTAAGTTTCTACCAAGACTGCTGCTGCTGACACTGCTGCTACTACTACTACTACTACCACCACCACCACCACCACCACCACCACCGCTACGACGACGACGACGACGACGACGACGACGACGACGACGACGACTACTACTACTACTACTATTACCATTACATCTACTACTAATAATAATGCGAGTGCTCGCCACAATTTAACCCGTTAATGAGCAAGAGATCACTGATGAGATATTCAGGATTCATGCGGAGACACCGAGATCGGGGCCCAGGAAAGATCCCTGACACCAGCCCGCAACCCTACTTAACCGAACGTGCACCCCTGCAAGCCCGTAATACCCCAAACCCAAACCCTAAGTGAACCTTATCCCTAAACCTGCGACCATGAGTAGCTTAACCCCCAAAGCGCCGTCAAAGACCGAAGCCCCATAAGCCTACCAATCCCTGCCTTGGTCTTCGTGTCGTTGTCGGAGAAGATTTCCACCTCTGCCGGGCTGATAATCATCTGCCCCTTCTCATCACCTGAGAGTGGGGTTCCTTCAGGGCTCTGTTGGGGTTACTGTAAGGGGTTCAAGACTCTAGGGCTCTAGGGCTCGAAAGGGGTTTAGGGTTTAGGGTTTAGGGTTTAGGGTTTAGGGTTTAGGGTTTAGGGTTTAGGGTTTAGGGTACTATAAGGGATTCAAAGATTTAGGGTTTCGGGGTTGGGCCCCTGACGGTTTGGCTCCAGGGTTTGGGGGGTTCCGGGGTCTTGGCCTTTGGGGGTTTAAGGTTTTGAAGGCCCTTAACCCTAAACCCTAAGCCCCTAACCCTAAACCCTAAACCCCTAAACCCTAAACCCAGGTTTTGCAGGTTTGGGGTTGTTGAAAATAGTGATTTCCGGATCTCCGACTCTGGGGTTGAAGGCTTGCGGTAGTTCTGAGTAGGGCTACCAGAACCTCAGATGGGGTTCGTCTAGGGTTTAAGGGTTTAGGGGTTTAGGGTTTTAGGGTTTAGGGTTTAGGGTTTAGGGGTTTAGGGTTTAGGGCGGAACTTCGGAGGCAAGATTGGCTCACTAGAGGCGCTAGGTGCCGAGCAAACATGATGGGGTGTAGTTCCTCCATACAAAATCCCTTGGCCCTTCATGTGGGGGTACCCCAAACCCTAAACCCTAAACCCCTTGGCCCTTCATGTGGGGGTACCCCAAACCCGAAACCCTAAACCCCTAAATCCCTTGGCCCTTCATGTCGGGGGGGGCGGGGGGGCGGCACCCCACACAAGCCCAGCAGAACCCCTATACAATCCCTGAAAGCTTGAACCCGTAAACCTCTAGTTCCCACATCCCTCAATCCTAGACCACCGAAATTTTGGACGGTCTCTATAGCGGTTCCGAAAGGGTTTCCATATAGTTTCCACAATTTCTCTGAGGTTGCTAAGGCGTTCTCGAAAGCTCCTTGCAGAAACTAAGGACGGAACTGCACTCAAAGCCGGACTCAAAGCCCCCAACCTTGAGACCTCCTACCCCCTAATCCTAAATCCCAAATTCGAACCCCCAACCCCCTAAATCCTAAACCCTAAATAAATCCTAAATCCCAAATTCGAACCCCCAA